CTGGGCCCAGCGTGTCACAATGTTCTGGAGCAGGAGGGCCTGGTGCAGACCCACCCCATGCGCCCTCAGTTTGCCAAAGTCTGAGATCCCCTCTGCACACTGTGCTCTCACCTGCCGGAGCACTCAGGCTCCTCCACACATTTCGGGAAGGAGCAGCTCGAGGTCTGTGCACATGCGAAAGGGAGACAGGGAGAAGCAGCTGATGGCATTACCCTCACTCACTCCAGGCTGCTGCCTTGGGAAGGGACTGGGAAAGGCCACACTAGCCATGAACAGGTGGTTACGGTCCCAAGGCTGTACAGACCCTGGGGCCTGCTGAGGTATTGCTTACATCTGGAGTGATAAAGCTGCATCTCCCCGGGGAGGAGAAATTGTTCCTCAGCTCCAGCCCCCACCTCAATCACCAAGTGACAGAGTTTAGGCTAGAAGCCATTGTCTGCCTCTTGCTGGCGTAGCCACACAAGTCAGGCCCTCGAGCGGTCGGGAACTGGGCCCAGCTTGTGAAACGTTAGCTGCCGAGCACGAGATTTCACAAACACCTGCTTGTTCAGACACTGTCTGGGTCTGGCAGCCCTTCCTGCCTCAGGTGCTAAGCCAGCCAGAGGGGAATGGTCCGAAAGCCACAGTGTATCCGTCTGATCAGCATCCAGCCCAAAGCAAGAGTCCTACCATGCAAGCCGCAGAGGACACAGAACTGGGAGCAGGCAGGGGAAGGCTGGGAGCGTGGGCTCCAGCAGCTGGGTGGAATGGGCAGACCAGTTTCTAGGTAAGTAACCACTGCCTCCATGGTGCTCGAAGGGTTAACTCTGCCAGGAGCTACCAGGGAGAAGTCACACAGGAGCAAGGGCTCCTGCTCGGACAAATGCCTCAGTTTACACCCCTCTCCCGCCGGGGGCAGGGCCCGAGCAGAGGTGGGAAGGCAGCACTGCGGAGCAGCACGACCGGGAGAGCGGGGAAACCAGCCGTAGCACCCACCTCGGACGTGGATATCCGTGTCAGTCATTAGCAGCACGGCCAGCGGATGGACCTGGGAGGAGTCCCGCACAAACACCCCGCCGTTGGACTTCACCGCCATGAAGTACGTCAGCCAGCGGCTGTACAGCTTAGAGGCCTCCCTGGTCAGGAAAAGCAGGGGGTTACTGCGGACCACATGCAGGTAGCTGCTACCAGCCCACCCCACCCCTGCCACTTACAACACGCCAGGCACAGCCCAGCACAAAGGGACGGCCCTATCCAAAGGGCGAGGCCAGGCAGCCCTGGAACAGTGGAGCTCCTCTTCGGAGCGGCAGCAGAGAGCGGCCCCTGCAAACCCGCCTAGAAGGAGGTTCTAGCCCCACTGTCGGGGAGCTCACTCCCTTCCCCGCGGTGCTGGCCTCAGCGTGCACCAGGACTCTCTGCCCCCACGTTCACACCCTCACATCTGCCACTTGCCTGTTGATGGTCGACTTGTGCAGCAGGACGGTGCCAGCCTTTGTCCGATAGGAGTAACTGTTGGGCTTGAACTTTCCCTGCCGGGTGACTTTGCCTTGTCTCACCTGGGAACAGGAAAGGCACCTCAGCAAGCAGGAGAGTCAGTTTCCACACAGGCCTGCCAGGTGCTGCTGGAATCCAGGGCAACCAGCAAGACCGGAGCAGGGATTTCCCTCCTGGCCACCTGAGCTGCTGCGGCAGCCTTGCCCTCTCCCTGCTGCTGGCAGGTGACAGCTGTGGGCAGGAAGACGTGCTAGCCAGCCCTGGCTGCTGCAAAACACGTCACAGGAGGCAGAGGATTGGGGAGCCCAGCGGGGGAGGAATTGTCCATCGCCTCCATGAGCCATGGCTGGATGAGCACAGGCCTGTGGTTGAGACCAGACGGCCTGGCTGGTTTGGCAGTGGGAGAGATCTGGGAGGGGTTGAGTATGTCACACGGGATGGGGCGCAGGCAATTTGCCCTCGGCCGTGCCCTAGCAACAGACACACGAGCACAGAGCCCCAGTGGAAGGAGAGTGATCGCAGAACACAGCCCCCCACCCCCACCCTCTCACACACTATGCAGACGGACAATGTCCAGGGAGCCAGGAGATTGTGGCCCCACCGCACAATGCCCAAGAGTGCTGGCAGCCTGCTGAGCCCTGGGACAGGGGCAGCCACAGGGGAAGGGAGGGAACTCCCATCACCTGGGGGGCTCCTACCTGGATGAGGTTGGGGTAGAGGCCGGCCATGAGGACGCCTTTCACCAGCTCCTCCTCCTCGCTGTACTGGTTGCAGGCCGCAGAGGGCATGGTGCAGTCTGAGGGCGCCGACACCAAGAAGGTATCGTAGATGTTCTCGGAGAACTGCTTGACAAGGCCTGTGGGGAGGAGCCAGGGCAGGTTATGAGCACCCGGCTCTCAGCACAGGAGCCGCTGCCCACCCCTCTGTAAGTCCCAGCTCACAGCCTGTACCCAGACAGCTGCCAGCCCTTTCCCCACTCGGGTGCTTCACCACGGAGCCTTTGCTCCCTTCCCTCCGTGGGATGGGCACCCGTGGTCAGACACAGACTGACTCCTGCGGAAGCACCCACACCTCTCTGGGTCACGCAAGGCCGATTCACTCGCTGTCACAGGCAAATGCCTGGCCTGAGGCTCCCTGGCAGTTTCTGTGCAGAGGGGCAGGAGGCCCAGCTGTGCAGTCACTCGAAGGTTGGGGCTCGCCCACGAGGGATTTGCCCAGAGTCTCCCCCCACCCCCCACGTTCACCCCCCCTTCCCACCCCCATTACAGCCAAGCTCTCGCCCCTTGGGCATGGCACTTGCTCCTGCAGTGGGAGGGGCCTGCAGAACTCACCGTTGATGAAGCGCAGGCTGGGGGCGTAAAGGAAGTAGTCCTGCAGGTAGTTATCTCTGGCACGGCTGTCTCTGCGCCTCAGCACCTCCTCCCAGCCGGCCACGGCCCTGACAAAGGCCAGGTGATCGCTCCCGCTCTCTCCGCTCAGAATGGCCTTCGCCTAGAGCCAGGAAGCTGAGTTAGATGAGCAACAAACCCTCTTCGCCCCCTCCCTGCCACGGCCCCGGCGGGCGGCCCTCACCTTGTCCACCTCCGCTCGGTTCTGCAGGCTGCTGCTGAAGGGGTCCCGAGTGAGGCAGGAGACGATGACGAGCAGCGGATGAAGGCAGCGATAGATGGATGCCAAGACAATGGCTTTGGCCAGCCGAGGGTCTGTGGAGATTTGGGCCAGGCGTTTGCCCAGCGTGGTGAGGGCTTCCCGCTGATCCAGCACTCCTGCAACAGAACCCCGCCAGGGGGCACATCCATCAGCCTCCCCGCAGCACCGCCAGGACCGGGAAGGGGAGGCCACTGGTTTCAGACACGGTGCCAGGCAGGCAGGGCAAGTACCCTGCAATCTGACGCAGGAGACTGGGGTGCCAGCCAATGAGTCACCTCCAGGATGGGCACGGCCCCCTGGGTTCCAGCCACGAACCTTCAGGAGTACATTGCCCCGGGGGAGTCACTGACCCCCAGCAGCTTCGGACCTCTTAGGAAAGAGTGAAAGGGCTGCAAGATGACCACGTGGTCAGCTGAGCACCCAGCTGTAACTCCTGGAACCACCACTCTCCTCCCTCTTTATCTACCCCAATAACCAAAGCAGTGCGCGAAATCAAGAGTTAGACCAGCACAAGCTAAGTGAATATGGCTGGAATGGTTCCAGCTACTCCCCGCTCTGATCGAGGGCTCAGATCCCACTCCAACCCAGAGCAAGAGAATCCCGTCCCAAGCCCAGCATCTTATATCTGGACAGGCGCTGTGGCCTTTCCACGTTCAGAGTGAGCTCACCAATTTCCTGCAGGAGGATCACAGCTTCATCCACAGCTTTGATGTCAGGGCTATCCAAAGCCTTGGAGAGGAATTCGACTGCCTGCAACACACACGCAGAGACAACATGAGGTTCCCCAGCGCAGGAGCGACTCTGACCCATGCAGAAGAATTCTCCACCCTGCCCAGAAATGGCTGCTCTACATCGAAACACTGGAATGTCATTTCCTCCTTTGCTTACCCGCAGGGAGCCGAGTTCAGTGCTCTGCGTTTCCGCATGGCACCATGTACGCCGGGTGCTAACCCTGGCTAATCTGCACATTTCCCTCTGGGGGGCTCCCTGCATTAGCACTACTGTCTAGGGCAGGAAGAGGTGGCGAAAACGGTAGCTCACTGAAATGATAAGGGGAGTGTAGGGAAGCAAAGTGAAATTATCAGTGCTCAGGCAAACAGGATCTTTAATGAGTATCCCTGGACAAGACCATAGGGCCCCCTAAGCATGGTGCTGGCACACAGGTTCATTACCAAGTCTCGGGGAACATCCTACCTACTTATCAGCACCTCCTGCAGCACCCTGGATTTCCCCTGTTTACTACCTGCAGACCTGAGCTCAAAACCACTGACTGGAAGGGGCACAGAGTGGGCAGAAACACGCTGGCAGAGGGAGTTCCGCCAGCACTGTGGTCTCCGGGCCGCGTGCTACACCTACCGTCTTCTCTGGCATGTGGATCTTGGCCTGCACCACCAGATTCTCCAGGGGAGTGCGCAGGATTTCAGGAACCTGGAAAGTGGGCATTTTGTCCAGGCGGCTGCGAGGGAAGAGGTGATAGGCAAAGCCCGACTGGCAGCGGCCAGCACGCCCTCGCCTCTGCACGACATTGGACTTGGACACCCACACCGTTTCCAGGCAGGAGACCTGGGGGAAGAGGAGCGTTAGAGGCAAGTGCTCCTGCTGCGATTTAGTCTGTTTCACCAAGTTCCCCCTCTAGCCCAGAGAGCCAAGGAACCCCTGCCCCAAGAGCTGTCCATGCCACCTAGCTCAGACCTAGCTGGCAAGCTGCTTCTCTAGTGTGCAGAGTCCCACTGCAGGAGCTGGGAAGCTCTCCCCCTTCTCCTCAGTCCTAGGCCAGTGAGCGACACCCACACCCATACACCCCTTTGGGGGCCAAGTGCTTTGCAAACAACCTGCTATAGGGACTAGACACAAAGGGTAACTGTACCCACCACCGAGATGCAACTGCCTCTGGGGCTGAACACCTAATCAGGAGCAGCAATAATGAACATTGCAGCAAGCGACAGGGGAAACTAGGTATGTAAAGTGTAGACACTTATACTGGGATTTGGAGGAGGGGAGCGCTGGATAAAACAATCCTTAGTTGATTGCAGAGTGGACAAGGACCTTGCTTGTCCATTTCATACAAACCCTGGCATCTCAGACACACACCACCCCCAGCACTACGGCGGGGCATTGGAAAGAACCACGGGACCTTTACCTTCCACTAAGGCAACCTCCAGAGTTGGGCAGAAGGGAGCTTGATTTCACACGTCTGCCAAACGGCAGCAACAAACACACAAGCTATCCCACCAATCGAACCCGTGTTCCTGTTGTACTGCCCTGCTGCAATGACCGCAGCCAACAAGCCGGATATGCATGCGAGCCAGCTATGCACAGCTTAGCCTCTGCCTTCCTCCTTCACGGCTTCTCTCCCTCATCCCTGTCTGAGCTGAAGGGAAACGCCAAGTTTGGCGCCATCTGCTGGACAAAGTCTGCACACTCCCCCCCTCCCCAATATTCAACAGCACATCCTTTAGCTCAGTGATTCTCAAGCGCGGCCACCACGACTTCTGGAGGGAACAGGCTGTCAATAGTCTATTTTAACTGTCATAACTGAGGCCACCATGAATTTGCAGTGGCCACACATGCAGCCACGGCACAAATTCATTTGAGACCCAGCACACTGCCTCGCTGAATGCTGCTGGCTCCAGGGAGAGGGGCTCCCGGGGGGCTGGGCATAGTGCTATGCTGACGAAGAACCCGCTTTAAATCCTATTCAGTCTCTCTCGATGTCTGGGCAATCAGGAGCCCAGTGTGCGGCAGAAGCACTGCCTCATGCCACTATTCAACAGCGCTCGCTCCGTCTGGTGGAGTCGCAGCCGGCTCGGTTTGGCTACTAGGAAGTGACTGATGGGAGTCTGTTAGGGAGGGCTGTAAGGCAGGGAGATCTACAGAGGGTACTGAGGGTGGCACACGGACAACAGGATTTGTTCAGGGGTGAGTCTCCTGGTGCACACTGGGGCAGGCGGTGCACTGGGAGGGAGTTGGCTCAGACAGCCAATGCTCCCTGCGCCATCAGTCACAATGGCCAAGGATTTTTTGTTTTTGACCCGCCTCTGAGATTTTGGGAGAGGAAGGAGGGAAGGAAAGCAATTATCCCTGCTCTGCGGAGATCACATACAAAGTGACTCAGCGATTCAAGCCCTGAGCACCAAGGAGTTAATGGCAGGCCGGGGGCATCTCAAATGCTGCTTTAAGAATCATGCATCAGCTGCAGCGTGTTCCAGGAATGCACACAAGACACACGGGGCAAGGAAGAGCCAGCACCTTAGTTTTGAGGTCATAGCGCTCCTCCTTGTGAGTGCCGCTGTCCACCACATGCACTATGTCATTGATGGTGATGGAGGTCTCAGCAATGTTGGTAGCCAGGACAATCTTTCTCACTCCAGGCGGGGGCCGCTGGAAGATGTTCTGCTGGTCCATCATGGGGATGTTGGAGTGCACTGGCATGAGAAAATGCAGAGTTAGCCCTGTCCTGCTCTGCCTAACTGGTGCTGACCAGTTAGGAAGGTGGTCAGGTCTACTCAGCCCTCCAGAGCTCTCCCTATACTGCTCATGCTCTTCCTTCACGTAGGCACCTTCTCTCAGTCCCCTGCGAGAGGCTGGGGTTAGTCACTGCTGTCACATGCAAAGAAAGTTGTTTCTAACGTTGGCATTACTGTGAACAGCCAACCAATGGTTCTCCCAGGCTTACTCATCAGACCCACCACTGCATCCTCCAATAATCCCAAAACCAACCTTTGGAAGGGTCAAGCACAGTAAAATGAAACAGCAGATGGCAAAATACTCCAGGTGCTGCAGATAGGAAGGGCTCATTTCAACCTCTGTGACCTAAAAAAAAATCTCCTAATTGTAGGAGATGTAGTACCTCCTCCCACCCACAGGTGGAGACATTCCATTCTGCATGGTTCTTGCATTTCCACTTTTTAAAGAGGACACCACTTTTCCCACCCCACTCTTCCTCCTGGCCCCGCTTAGGGGATTGGGTCTGGCTCAGCTATGACGTAATGCCATCTGACCAGCAGGGGCTGCGGCCAAAGGCCTGTAACTCCATCCCACACATTTCCTCTTATGGCTCAGGGACCTGGGGAAATTCCCGACAGCAGATGGGCTTGCATGCTGAGGGCCCCAAAGAACAGCAGGTAAGTGGAGCAACTGGCCCAGAAATAAGCGAGCATATTTCAGAGGAGAGCAGCTCCTGCTCACACAACCCAGCATGCCGCAGCCTGGTTATGGAGCTCGGCCATTTGGTGTGTGGCGGGAAGGCACCAGATATGAAACACTATTTTGCAAAAATGTTTTAAAACATCCCATTGGGATAAGAACTAAATTACATGTGCAGTGCAAAGCTGCACCTAGAATTCGGAATCCCACACACCCAGCCCTCACTCTGCCCAATTCCCTGGCTCCAGCTTACAGCAGCTGATTCAGGGGCCCTGGAGTTCATAGGTGGAGATTCCCCTTGCTACGCCATTTAGGAGCTCAGCACATATCTACGGCGAACAAGGCATTCGGTGGGTTCCATGATGGCAGACGGAGTGAGTTTGTCCCCCTCATGTCCCCACAGGCCTCAGCAGCAGCAGGCCAGCATGGCCTGGGCAATCCGCTCCAAATGTACAGTTAGGTGACAGGGTTACCAGTGTGTCTGATGCATCCAAACTCATTCTGCATCAGACAGCAACAGCTGGAAGTGTTACCTCGAATACCATGTTTCAGCCCCACCCATCTCTCCCTCTCCCCCAAGCACTGGAGAGCCATCTCACCTGGTAAGACAAGGTACCGGGTGTTCTGAGAGCCGAGTGTTTCCAGCAGGCGCTGCTGCACTCCTTTGATCTCCTGCCAGCCAGGAAGGAAGCAGAGGACCCCACCTGCAAAGGATCAAGTGCAGAACAGGCAACACAGAGATGCATGGAGCTCTTTTCCAAGCTGCAGACAGACACCGTGACTCTAACCTCTGTGCCAGGTCTCCCATACTCCAAGGAGTCCTGGGGAAGCCCAGTATTTTCCCGTCTAGACCCAGAAACTTGAACAGGAGACTAACAGGTTACCAAGTCTGTGGTACCGACCTATCAGGCATGATCACCACTGAAACCTGTCGGACACATGCCCATACAGATCACAGACAGCACCAGGTGAGCCACCCCTCCAGCCTGGGGACCCCGGGGAGTTATAAAATCAAATCAAGAGGGAGAACATAGTGGGTGATTTAATACATGACGCAGCCTGTCAGAGCACTTAGACACAGTATAACCAACTCCTTCATGGTGGCTGGCTCATGGGGTATTCTGCCATTGAGACAGACAGACAGCACCAGGTGTCCTCGGATCACAGCTCGCTGTCATGAGAGGAAATGGAGCTTATTAGCTTTGAAACAGCCAGACTTCCTAAAAGCATCGTTTCGAAACCAGCCTTCATCCTTCCTGGGGAGAAGGAGCATTCTAGGCAGTTTACTGGGAGGAGTTCAAGCTTAAAAAAATAATCCGAGATCCTGTCTGCTCTGTGGGAACGTAAGATCCCTGGGCACTGGTACAAATGCAGCAGCTGCTGCACTTCGTCCTAGGGGTGTGGCTGCATTTCAGTGGTACAGTGTGTCGACATCTCTGAAGCCCGATAATGCACGTTGAAAAATGCCATGCAGGTCAAATAGTATTTGCCACCACAGTAACCACCACTCTACCCAGTGTCCAGACACCACGCTGCACGCTCCAGGAGATTCAAAGTAAGGTCACTACTCTCCCGTACATGATGCAAAGTTGCACGGTGCATTCGTACAGCGGGTTACTTTATCCCCAAGAGACAGACGTGCCAACTGATGTATAGCTACTGATGCGATCTCAAGAGACTTGGGAACGTCACCCCCTTTTTATTATATGGCCACGCTTTACACACAAATCCACTTGCTTGGCTCACTCTTTTATGACTCTGCGATATGCAGGCCCAACAGTTACCAGGGAGTGCATCCTTTGCTGACAAACTCTTCAGATCTTCTTGCAGCCTCAGTGAATCCCAGACATGGAGTCTCTCTGTAGCTTCGAGCAGCCCTGGGCACAGGGCAGCTGCACACTAACGGCAATAGGGTTTACCCTGGGCTGCCTCAGGGCCAAAGAGCTCAGAGAGCAGATCCAATACAAAAGGGTTGATGGCACATTCACACAGGTGCTTTCAGGCATCGTTGACCTCAATTTTGTGGCTGTTTCACCACCTGGACCCAGAAGACAGTGCTCTCAGCCAGCGCAGTACAAGGATCAAGGGCTGGTTTTGCCAAGTACCTTCAGTGCCCATAGAGAAAGACAGGATGCCAGCCCCTTGCAGGAGCCAGCCCTATTTTATGGATCTGATCTGCTTTGGCAAAGGGTCCAGGCTTCACCTGCTCTTTCCCCATCTTCCAAAACCCCAGGCAAGGGAGAAAGTAAAGCAGCACCTACCTGGCTCTCCATGGGCATCGATCTGGAGCACAAGGTCAGTGATCAGCTCAAGGTCGAGGACACATTCATCATCTGATTGCTGAGAAACAGGAGAGGATATGTAAATACCAAGGTAGCGGCAGTGACCCAATGGGCTGGAGAGAGGGGTGCTACACACCCCGCAGCATCCCCCTAAGATGGCAAACACCTTTAATAAGAGATATGGGCTAGTAGTCTGATCACAGCACTATGAGCCAAGAACTCCAGGAGCTTGAATTTAGGCTCAGATTCATTCTGGTCACAACCTCTGCTGTACAGTGAGGAGACCACCTCCCTTCCCCCATCTGTGAGCGTCTGCAAGTATTTGTAAATATCAGCATTACGTATGAAATGGTCACCATCAGCTCATTTAAATCATGGATTTTGGTGGGGGCAGGAGGGTGCTGTGTGAGACTGGGACGTCAGTGAATCAACTGGGCAGCACGCGGCAGCAGCTTTTCTTTGCAAGCGAGAAAGAGAGCGCACCCAAGGAGTGGGGCAGGCATCTGGAGTGGTAAAGGCCTTTTAAGAGGATAACAGAACCAGAAAGAGTAATGCAC